TAGGTAAAAACCTTTAACTAATAAATGTCACTATGAAACCTCCATAGTTGATTACTTACAATGACACAATTATTTTTTGCATCACAAGTTTTCTTTATTTTAAGTTTAAATATGCAAATAGGGAGTTATCTAATTCAATATGCACTTATGGACAAATTTCCAGGACAGATATTTCAACTGAAATATACACCTAAATGTATATTTTGGATGTTTTGTTTCCACTTGTCTGAAAGAAAAGGTGTTACGGAAGCAAAATAGCCCAAAATCTTTAAATTAGGCGGTGCATGAAAAACCTGTAGTGTCTCCCCTTGAAAATCACATGTGAAACTTACATTTGGTCCAAAGTCAAGAGTGCTGGGGATAAAGAAGGTATATGAACTTCCAAATCCAAACTCCCTGCTGAATTCACATGACTGTGACCCACTCCATAAGGTGAAGACTGGCCTGGTCATTAAAACAGAAAAATCAGTGTAATAAACTGTATTGTTGTTTACATAAAGTAATTATTCCGGTATAAAAACTGTGAATTAGTTCAGATAAAATAAATCCTTACTTTCCACTCTTTATCTTGGAGTAGTTGGAATAATAAAATGGCTCAATTAGTCCAAAGTCAGCTGCAGGAGTTGAGACGTTCACTGCTATATCCATTCCATTTATAAATCTGAAATGGATCCACATTGAGCCAAAGAATGTATAACAGTCAGTAAAAACAACATGTAAACCATTCATTTCCAACAATTAACTCTGCGGTTACAGAAAAGGGCTGCAAACACATTTCTGTTGGTGAAGTGATTCATGAATTGTTACGGTTATTATTTTACATACCGGATTTCATTGATGCCTTCTTGTGGCTTGGAGGTCAAATCCTCAGTCTGAGGAAATAAGACAAACAATGGTGTTTAATTTAACCATTAAAACATCTTGTGTGTCTCTGATTTATAATTTGGTGCTTCTGACTCACCAACAGCCATTCCTCAGTGAGGTTTGAGGGAATCAGAAGGGTTTGTCGATGTCCTTTGGCCAAGGAAACTTCTCTCGTCACCGCAGGGCTGCCTATTGAAATGCTGATATTCTCTGCGTCAAATGTGAAGAATTCCTTACTGGCCTGCAACAAAGAAGAAATTGTTGAAACAATCAATGTGCAGGTACTAAGGTAAGAATATGTGTACGTTAAGAGTGGTGTTTCGGTTTAGCATTACTGTAAGAGAACATACCTGAGCTGCAGGAAGTGGCAGAGGGTCATTGCCAGGCAGTTTAATCATCAAATGATTATTGCCCATGTTGAGTAATTTCAATTGACTCTGGGAGGCGGATGGGAAGGTGGGTAATGTTTTCTGAAAATTGAGTTTGAAAATAAATTAATGCCTGATCTGATGTGCATTTTTAAAATATATGGGAAGATAAACACAATGACCATCTTTACTTACATCAATTTGAATCTGAACCAAGGCAGCGCAGACAAAAGCTATAGCTGCCATAACCATCCCCACTGTCATTCTTTTCAGAGGTCTGTTGGATTAACATGAAATCTTGTTAATGATTTGTCCAAGATATAAGGGAATGCTAAATATAACGCTGCATCCAGCGGCTGGTTAGTAAACAGATACTGAATTTTCAAAGGATGATATAATAACTATAGTTTGGGAAAAGATTAACTGGCCAATATCAAGAGCTAGGGGGCTTTTAATTTGAAACAGGAAGTGGCAGTATTCACTCAGTCACAGATTTACAGACTTTCACTGTAGCTCTGATAGCGCTACATATACTAGAATAAAGAACAATACACTTAGACATTCACACTCACACTCACACAGCAGAAGGGAGCCACTGGCCACTACTGGAGGCAAGTTCAACTGATAAGGATAGTTTGCCAAACGTCTTATTGGCACTGATTGGCGAAACTGATTAATCAGTCGACCTCTAGTTAGAGTCAACAAAATCTGCGTATCAGCGCAATATCAGATATCAGATTTCGCAACAGCATCACAACTGTGCAACATGCAGTCACAAAACTTTCCAGGTGTAGTTGAGATATCCATGAAGGCCAAGCTCAAAGATGGGTGTGGTCCAGGCAGCAAAATTGCGAATCCTAGGATAGCGAAGGAATGACCCACCCTACTTTCCTATGATTGGCTGGTACCTGTCACCTTCGTTGGTTGGATTGGTTAGGGTTAGGCAAAAGGAGTGGGACAGGTTATGGTTAGGGATAAAATGGCAAGGTGAGCAAATCAGAGGCAGAGTAAGGCAGAGTAAGGTGGGCCACTCCTTCGCTATCCAAGGATTTGCAAATTCGCATCCAGGCAAGGGCACTGGTAGTAGGAGGGTAGGAAGTAGGAAAGAGGCTGTTCTCCTGCCCCTTTATGTCCCTGCCCTGCATTTGTTGTAAATGGCAGATTGCTGTATCACGGCGGGTGGGTATGTGCCGAACTATTCCTTTGCCAAGAACAGTTACTAGAAAATGCTCAAGGTAGTTACTGCTCAAGCCAAGAAATAGTCCATCACTTAACCCTCTGTATAACACTGAATGCATCCCCCCCCCCCCCCCCCCCCCCCCCCCCCCCCCCCCCCCCCCCCCCCCCCCCCCTCGCCCCGCCTCCCCCCCCCCCCCCCCCCCCCCCCCCTCCCCGTTTACACTGCAAACAGTTCTCTTAAATGCAGGTGGGTTGTTGTCACTCACTGCTCTGTCCAGCACTCACTGTACTCTCCATGGCATGAACAGTGGTTACATGAGCCTCAAAACCAGCCACAACTCAGCCCTGACCAGAGTGACCATCCACTATTGACCAGTCAACGGACTGCAGTGTTCAAAGGTCCACCTTTTAGTACCAGATCTGTGTGCTAGGTACCCCAACAGAGGGGGGACCAAAAATGGGGACGGTACAGAACGGTTCCATTGGTACCATACACAACTTTTTACAGTAGAAACAGAAGAAAAGCGTACCATTAGCTGCTTCTCCCTGTTTCCAGTCTTAATGCTAAGCTAAGCTAAGATATGCTAACATTTGTCAAAAAATCGGATAAGCAAATTTTTCAAAATGTCAAACTGTTGCTTCAAATATGCAAAGATTGGGGAAGAAGAAATTAGGGTACTCACGTAAAGTTCAGGCCACACTTTTGGATCAGAGGGTAGATTAAGCTGTCCATGATAGGCACCAGAGTCAGAATCAGGATGGGGTTGACAGTCTTTCAAAAACATAAACTGCACAGTGAGAATCTTTTCAAACAAAGTACATCAGTCCAAGCACATGTGATAAAATTTTAACTTACCTGCATCTGATCAGGCTGTATAACAAGAAGCCCCTGCAGACACAAAGATATTATTAAAACACGAACACATTCATTAATTTATTCAACTATATTTATGGTTGGTTTTATCACCAAACTTACAAAGTTTCCATCCATCGTGGTGGCTTGCAGAGTCCATCTAGAGCCCTTTAAAAGAGATGCTGAGTTTAGCCCAGTTTTCAACAAATGATTTGCACATCTTTTTTAAGAGTAACTTTAAAATACCTTTTGGTCGAACAGAGTCCAGAACATCGGGAGTGGGATGTATAAAAAGAGGACCCTCAGCACCATTTTGATCTGAGCAATGAGGAGTTTCTACAGCACAGACAGACACAATATGACTTGCTGTTATCCCACTGCTGAAATTAGAAACTTTAGAGAATGAAATACAGTCAAACCTACATCATATTTTTCTTCTGCCCAGTCCATCCAGTGCTTCCTCTTTGGGTACTGTTTGCTTCTGTGCCTGTAGCGGTTTTTAATGGCAAACTGATCGACAGAAAAAGAAGAAAGCAAAGGAGAAACATGTTTTTAGAAACAACTAGAAGCAACTGTTGTGTCACATTAATGCAGAATGTGTTGGTGGTTTAAACCAGACTCACCCCGATGCATTTACACACATCCAGCATGATGTTTCCCTGTGGTTCAGCTTTGTAGTACATACCACTTCCAACGATAAACACCACTGTTAGGGACATCACAGGCACATCATTATCACTGTGCCCAGCATGTGTACCAAATCTTTACATTTCTGCTTCACAGTCTCCAAATTATTTACACATACCAAGTGCAACCACCATCAGAGCTGCTGGGACACCGAAGGCCAGAGAGTAACACTTCTGCTTAGTGTAGATGCCACACTCCTGAGCTGCAGATGGACACAAACAGCTGTCATTAAACGGTGCCTTTTACTCGTACTCAAAGACTGTTATTAGCTGTTATTGCGTGCAGTCATGTTTATGGCACTGTTTTTCATAAACTTTATGTCCTGCTCATATCTACCTCTCAGGATTGGAGTGATAATGGTTGACAGGAGACTCCCACCATTGATGCACAGGTAGAATACAGAGAAGAAAGTTCTTCTTTGCTTTTCCTGCACAGAGAGAAACATCAGTGATCTTCTGTCACGTGTTGCATGCATGTTGTGCAAAGCTGAATATAATGCCTAACCATTTCCTAACCATATGATATTAGGTGATACAATCAAAGTTTTATAGTTGTGCTAGCGACATGGCTCTAGGGACAACAGTGTCAGTTTGTCAGTTCACCGCTTCGGTCCAGACTGAAATATCTCAACAACTATTGGATGGTTTGCTTTTTCCTGAAATTTTGTACAGATATGTATGGTCTCTGATGGATGAGCCCTAATGACTGAGGTGATCTGCTGATTTTTGATGTCTCGACAACTACTGGATGGATTCTCATGAGATTTGGCACCTTCATTCAAGGACCCGTCAGGATGAAATGCAGCAACTACAATTCCTTTGAAGAGTTCTCCACTGATTTAACATAGCACTCCTATCACATTGGTGGACCCTGGATAGACAGTTTGAAAAACTATAAAAAGAGATTGGCTGATTATTTAACAATTTTGATACTTAATATCAAAACTGCCTCGTCAAAACCTGGAGCCTGCATTTCCCACAATACCAACTCGGTCTCACTCTGAAGTCGTCAAAATCTGGTGCTTGGGCAGTGACTTGCGTTGTCAGACACTTACGACAAAGCCGTCCTTAATGTTTGCATGGTATGTGGCCGGTTGCTGTTATACTTGCAGGTAGGAGTGGCGGTTGATGGGTCCAACAAACACTTTCACCCAGGAGAGTAGTGTTCGTGTCGCATAAGATTATAAAGCCAAACTCTATTCTTTTTTCCTAAACCCAACCATGTGCTTTCATTGCCTAACCCTAATCATGTGTGTTAGTTGAAGGCAAAAAAATGTAATTTCACGGTGTTGTACTAACGCAGTGCATTTATTTTGAAAGAGACTGTATGTATACAGTAAATTTCCTGTGAAAATGGAAGTGTATTTTGAAAGAAGTCAATGCATGTAACAGGCAGAACTTGACATGATGTCCCAGAACATCAACAACCCATGCCCCCAGGGTACCTTCAGGTAATATCTGGACGTGGAAAGTCCATGACTAAACATCGTTATGTGACGAGGTCAGAGTGCGAATGTGTTGACAATGCAACTCGAGTGACTACATTTCCGTCTGAGATTTGGTTTTAGCCTATCCCAGTAGCAGCTTATGTAGCCTTGAGCCACTAACCTCAAGCAGATATATATTTTTTAAGATTACTGTTTAGGGCTTTCATTGCCTTGTTTTAATGATAGAACAGCTGGATAGTGACGGGATAGGGGGGAGACGCATGCAGCACAAGGCAGCTGGTTAGAACTAAACCCAGGCCACTGCCAAGGCCGCAGCCTCACGCTTTACCAGGTGAGCTAGAGCAGTGGTTCCCAACTGGTCCAGCCACAGGGTCCAGATACATCCTTAGTCATCAGTTCAAGGTCCCCACAGTTTAATACATTCAGCGTCATACTTGTGTTCGGACATGTTGTAAAGCTAGTTTGCCGTTTCTGTCAAGTAGCTGTCCATTAGTCAGCAAGAAACATCACTTCAAAATAAAAGCTCCATGCTTGAAAGTCACTGTAGGCCTAACTGTGGAGCAGAAATGTTCTCACCTGATGATCACCAAATTGGTCTCCACCAAAGGCAGCCACACAAGGTTTGATGCCACCAGTACCCAGAGCAATGAGGAACAGACCCACCATGGACAACACACTAAATGTGAAGAGGAACACGTGCATGAGCAGAGCACTGTAGAAATATGTTATGAAAACTGCCTGCTAAAATCCCACATCCTGGACTCAGTTATTTCTGTAGTAGAATGGAAACCCACACATGATAGGTCATGTCATCTGGTTTCCCGTCTCTGTCTGCATCAGTGACGTCATGGATTGCACTGACAGACATCGCAATCTGGCCAATCGCATAGACAATGGACAAGTAGATGATAGTCCTGCCAGGGGAAGAGGGATAGAGTTAGTTAAGTACTAAGATAAAGCATTGTACATTCAAAATACGACTTAAGTAAAAGTACAGAGGTATTATTAGCAAATTGTACTTAAAGTATTCAGAGTGAGAGTACTTGTTCTACTAGTTTTAATTACTTTACAGTTAATTAGTTTAGTCTTGTGGTTCTAAACTTAAGGATTTATATTTATTTTAATATTCTGGGTTTTCCCAATCGTAGCTTTTCATGAAATATTTGATAATTTTACCCTTTTTATGCCTCAAACAGTTATATAAATGAAACCATCTGAAAAGTTCAGACGGGAAATTACTGTGTGGTGGAAGTGCTAACATCTTGTAGACATCTAAAAAATGAGAAGCAACGCTGGATAAACACTAAGCTGACTTTTTTTGTAAGGGACCACAAGCAAAAAAGTTGGGAACCACTGGTTTATCCTTTCAGTCATTACTACTTTATCATATGTTTTAAATTCAAAATATTAATCTGAAAAGTAAAGTAACTTAATGTGTGTAATAAATGTAGTGGAGTAAAAAGTGCAATACTTCCCTCTGAAATGTTGTGGAGTACATGTAAGTATCGGAAAAATGTATATACTCAAGTAAAGTACACGTACTCCAACTTTTACTTAAATACAATTGGTATTTTCTTACCTACTTTCCACCAATGAGAAATAGTCTTCCTATAACTAAATGCATATTTTTAATGACAAAGTAATTTTACTCACTTATACTTTCCCAGCCAGGAGTCGGCCACAATGGCCCCGAGGATGGGCGTCAGGTAGCAGAGAGCCACGAAGACGTGGTAGATGGACGTAGCCAAGTCATCGTCCCAGCGCAAGAAGTACTTGAAGTACAGCACCAGGACAGCTGAGAACAGGGGAGCAAAATGTAAGCTATCTCTTATTTTTCATTATATCTCATCATCAAAAACTGTACCACCGTGTGGCCATTAATAAAATAAGTAGACAAAAATCCTGATCATATAAACTAGGTAGGCTTTAAGTATCAAAAGAGAAAGTACTTATTTTGCAGAATAGAATAATGTATATTATAATACTGGATTATTACTATTGATGCATTGATGGATAGGTTACACCACATTATAATAATAATAATAATAATAATGATAATAACAATAATTCTCAACAGTTTTCCTTGGGGTTGAAATAAACAGTCAGTATTCTCACCTCGCATGCCATAGTAGGAGAACCTCTCGCAGAACTCATTGACAACAATGAAGAAGATGCTGAGCGGGTAGCCGCACACCTCCTTACTCTGATGGATCAAACAAACAGCAGCATAGTGACGTGTTGTGTTGTGTTCAGCAGGCAAAATTTATTTTCCTGGGATGGCAAAGGAATGACCCACCCTACTCTAGAGTACCCGCCTGTCAGGGTCAGCCAATCAGAGCCAGAGTAAGGCTGAGCCGGGCGGGTCATACCTTCACCATCCTAGGTAAAAGAACACTCAGCAGCAGCAGTGGTGCAGTAAACATTTATATCATGTACACCACAAAACAGTATTAAACAGAAGTATTGCAAATAAAATGTACTTTGTGTATCAAAAGAAAAGGTGCTCATTATACAGAGTGATCCCTGCCATGCATGTATTAACATGTCCTCCGGAGACCCTGCGTCCTCATACGAGGACATTACATTTTGGGTTTGCTGTACTTCATTCTGCTTAACTCAGACTACAGCAGATCCTGACACAAAAGTAGACAAGGTTCAAAACCTGATCAAGTTTTGTGGTTGAAACTTGTTTATTTATACGTTTAATACTGCATACAAATCTGACCAATTTTAGCAACAGTAACAACATAAGATGCTGTTAAAGTAAAATAAAAGTACTCATTTGAGGACATTGTGAACTTTATTATTATCTTATTGCAGCATTTTAAACAGGCCAGTAAGGTGTGACAGACTGTTCCTACAGACAAAAACGACATTCCTAGCTTGGAGTGTGGAGCAAGAAGAACTTTGTGCAGCCTTGCTCTGAGCTGTTGAACAGAGCTTTAAGGTCAGCCCCCAGGGGTGACTGTAGTGTTTCAAAATGAACCTCTGCTTTCTCTCTATCAGCTTGCTCATGTAAAGCCATCAAAGAATGGAAAAGGCTTCCCGACGCTTTAAAAAGTTTTTACAGTTTCTCTGGTGATGTGAAAAACTGGATTTTGAACAGTCAGTCTTGTCAGCACTGATCTCAGATAGATGTGAGAGGTTAACCTAGCAGGTACATAGATGTTACATGTTGCCCTCGTGGGTGCATGTGCTGCTAACTTTGCCACATGTAATATATTTATTGCATATGTCTTACTGTAAATTGTATTGTGCAGCCTGTCTGCCATGTTTATTGTGTAAGCCAGACAAATTGTTTACTTGGTCACTGAAAAATATAGTAACTGCACTTCATATTGTATTTTAAACATACAATGTGCACTTACTGTTTTTATTATGTAAGGCACCTGCACTGGTAACATGGTCACTTTACAAGGTAGCTATTGTGTTTTATTATACTGTATTTTGTACTATGCAGTGTGTACATACTGCTTCTATTATGTCAGGCACGTGGATTTATTGTAGTCTACACTGTGCCTTGAATTTTATTTTTATTTACTGTGTCTTTTTGTTATGTGTAGGATTACAGATGGAAATTAGCATTTCACTAAATCTAATGAAACCATGTTTTAATTTCTTGTATATGGTTAGTGTCATTGCACACTGTCCTCTTATAAATCAAAGGAACTAAACTAAACTAAATTAAACTAAACAGCCATGTTCAGGTGTTGAAATGTACAGTTTTAGACTTGAACATTGACCCCTAAAACATATGGTTACAAAATGCTGCTTTGTTTTCAGGCATTGAAATAAACTAAAAATAATTTTGTGACTATTAAAAATAAACTAATTGTCCTCAAATTAGGACATCCTTTTAATTCAAAAACTACCCCCTGTTCAAAGACAATAATTCATTTTTTTTATACTTATCAAGTTCTACTAATCCCAAATAGCTGGGAGACATTGAAATTGCATACCAAACAAAAGCTGAAGGTCTCGGGAGGATATAAGCAGGATTTTAATGCTGTACTTTGTTGAAGTGGAGCAAATTTTAATAATACTTTTGGTAAGTAGTGGTGTAAAAACTACATTTCCCTCTGCAATGTGGTGAAATTGTGATATAAAAAAGCATTAAATATCCTTCCTATGGATTATTATTTAATCTCACTGAACAACGAAGAACCAAAACTGCATAAATATCCATTAAATTAAATAAGTTAGGTACATTACCTTCCCTTTGCTCTGTCTCCCTTTCTTGGGATCCTTGTTATCTGTGCAAGAGATGACGTTTAAATAACTGGCTGTATGTCAGTAGCTTTAATTAAAAAAAAAAAAATACAGAAAACCTCTTGCAAAAGTTTCACTGGGAAATTTAAAAACAAATCAGCAGCAGTTCTGAGTTTAAAGCAAGTTTTTTGTTGTTCTGACTTGTTCTTCAGGGGTCTGTCTGCACCTTCTGCTCTGAAATATTTACTTTTATGGATTTGTATGAAAACGCAAAATGAAAAGTTTGCACACTCACCTGTCATGATGTTTAAGTGAAGCTGCTGCCCGCTTTCTGCTGTAGTTTGATATTCCTCTGAGATTTCTGCAGGGAGCAGTTGATAATTGATCCTTCACTGTGGGAGTGGGAGTGTTTCCGTAATATTGCTTCTTATTAGCACCTTGATCTGTCGTCCACACTGCTGACTGTGTTGCTTTTATGAGGGGAGGGAACATGAGATATAGGAGATAGGGAGTCAGGTATGTTCAGTCCCTGACACCTCATAAAAACTATTAATCCCCAGAAGCACCACAACTCAACCAAACGTGAGAATAAACTTTAATGCATTAGGAAATTTAAAAAAAAAAGGATTCATGAGAAATGCAGAGAAATGAGTGTATTTTATTTAAAAGAAAAAGCATTAGGGAACATCTCTGTTTACAGCAGAACAGTGACTTTGTGTTAAATAAAAATACAAAAAACCCACATTGCTGCTCAAATATAAAACAACTTCTCGAACATTTCAATGAACACTAAAATGGTAAAAGCTTCATATTACTTCCACAGTAGGCGTAGTGTCTGGTTCCACACCTCATCGCTTTGGCAAGAAGGTGAACATCATCTTTACAGTGTATGAGCCGCACACAGCAAGATCCTTTGCAAATATTGCACACACTCCTTTTTTATATACATTAATAAACAACATGGAATATACTTTTTGTATGCTTTAAATATTTGAAGACGCTCCCGTTCTAAGACATTGACGTGATTTAAGGTTGAACGCTAACATGAGTCAGAGGAGGCCCTTTTAGTAGAAATATAACTTCCTGTACAGGGAGACGAGCGTCGACGTATGCAGCATATACTGTTCATCAAGACATCAATACAGTGGCTTATAAAAGTGGAATGCTGTACATAAAAAACACAATGTGGAACATTATCAAAATAAACACCTGTTGGGAGGGTAGTGAGTGTAATGTAATGACATGCATATTAAAGATCCCAACAGGAATGGAAAACCAGTCTTTTCAGGTAGAAACAGGTGACACATCATGTCTGGCCATACGACAGGAACTCTCCTGCATGATTTCCTCTCTGGTCTCCGACTCCTCCGCAGTACTGCCACAGACATCCAACACAGTTAAATAGGTCCAGTGCCTTGGTCATGGTTCACTGAGAGAGGTGAGAGTTGCTTTTGTCTGTTTCCCTTTACGCTGACTGAAGAGAAGCAGGATCGGGCTTAGAAGCGACAATATGGCATCACTGGCATGCCTGGTTGGCGAGCAGAGAGGGCGCTGAGTTCAAGGCTAACCCAAGCACGCATCATACCACAGAGGACGAGCTGGGGATGCCGTGGATGGTGGCACTGGTTGGCGTGCCGCTGATGGCATTGAAGATGTGAAGCGAGTCTGGAAGAACGCTCTTCATACCATCTTCCACAGGACTGATCTGGACGGGAGGGAGAACGAGATATTCACAACTATTTACAATTCCATCTTAGATACATCAGTAACTTAATTACTGCCAAAGGAAACCCCTATAAAGGAATAGTTTGAAATTTTGGGATTTTCTCATTAGCTTTTTTTGCTGGGAGTTAAATGAGAAGATACAGGTGGGACCAGGTCATTGTTTTACAAGTCACAAGTAAGTCTCAAGTCTTCACACTCAAGTCCCATTTCAAGAAAATTAGACAAAGATGCAACTTCCCAGCTTCGTTCGACATTTGAACTTGCACAAACAGCATAACTTCAAGCTAATGCTTAGCTAATGCTAGCATAATTGCTCAGTAACGTTTTAACAACAAATAAATGCAAATTTTAAAAAGCATTTATGCTTTTTAAAATTTAATATTGGCATTAAATTTGGAGAAGAGCACATTGTGACTTGTTTAGGACTTAGAACTTGAAGTTTAGCTCTTGAAACTTGAGGTCAAAGACTTGAGAGTTACTTGTGACTTGCAAAACAATGACTTGGTCCCATCTCTGGACTCTGGAAGATAGTTATCACTCTTATATTTGTATGGTAAATATAAAGCTAGTCAGTTAGCTTAGCTTAGCATAAAAACAAGAAAAAGGGACTTTCCCCCCATTTTCAGTCTTGCTAAGCTAAGCTAAGCTAAACTAAACTAAGCTAAGGCTAATTAAACAAAGCTAAGCTAAGCGAAGCTAAGCGGCTGTATATTTAACATACAGACATGATGGTGATATCAATCTTCACATCTCACTCTTGACAAGAAAGTGACTATTTGTATTTCCCAAAACGTTAGACTATTTCTTTAAGTTACAGTCTCAGCACCCCGTTCATAACAATTAATAGATGCAGAAATCAAAATAGGTAAAAACAAACCAACC